CGGAGAGTAATGTTCGCACAGTAGGTGGCGGTAATGCACCTTAACGTTGGATTCCACCTGCCTTAAAACATGAAGAAGAAGAAGAGTAATGTTCGCGCTGCGCTTTTGTAACTGATCCGCGCCGCGCTGTCAGCTCGGTGGCGCTAGTAAACACGTCCTCTCTGCGCTGTCGAGTCGGTCGCGCCGCTCGGTCCATTGAGCCGCGCCTATGACAGGTCAGCGCGGCGCGAACACTTGAATACCGCGCCGTTTCGTCCCACATTTGGGTTGTTTCGCTTCCCATAGAATGATCATGCGCGCTGTATTGAGTGCAGAGGACGTCACGCGCGCGTGAGGGTTTGAAATGAGCTCGCGGGCTCCCGTTTCCTCGCGTGTAAATCTGTTTTCCTTTCGCGGAATTGATTTACCCCGCGCGCCAGCATCAGTGGTGCGCTCTATTATTAAATTGCCGCCATAGGTTATAGGTAAAAAACTATCAAAGAGAACGCAAAAAACAAACATTTTGTTCTAATTAGTTGTTAAACAATGTATAACAATAAAATTGGCCTGAAGTTCAGTGCAGTAGTTTGTTAGTGCAGAAGAGAAGATGGAGGTGCATGTGTTCTATGCTATGCAGTGCAAGACATGCTACAGTGCTGTCAGAGTCAGTGTGCTGGTGTGTAGATGTGTGTGATTATCGTTTTGCTATCTGGTCCGGGTACTGATGCTGCGGTATCTTCTGCCTGATGGTAGCAGTGAGAAGAGTTCGTGGCTCGGGTGGCAGGAGTCTCTGATGATCTTCGTGCTTTCCTCACACATCTCTGGGTGTAGATGTCCTGGAGGGAGGGAAGCTCACCTCCGACGATGTGCTGGGCTGTCTGAACTATTCTCTGCAGGGCTTTCCGGTTGAGAGCGGTGCAGTTCCCATACCAGGCGGTGACGCAGCCAGTCAGGATGCTCTCCACAGTGCAACTGTAGAACTGTCTGAGGATTTTTGAGCTCAGACCAAATTTCTTCAGTCGCCTGAGGAAGAAGAGACGCTAGTGGGCCTTTCACAGTACTGACTGTGTGTGAGTAGTCCAGGTGAGGTCCTCGGTGATGTAAATGCAGAGAAACTTGAAGCTGCTGACCCGCTCCACTGGAGTCCCATCGATGGTGATGGGGGAGTGCTCACTGGTCCGTCTCCTGAAATCCACCACCAGCTCCTTGGTCTTCTTGATGTTCAGAGAGAGGTTGTTGTTGTGGCACCAGTTAGTCAGTTAGTGCAAACCTCTTCTCTGTGTGTGTGTGTGTTTTATGTGTTTGTGTTTGAGGTGTTCCTGCTAAATTATGTTGTGTGTGTTGCTTTTTTTATATCACAGACAATCATCTGACATTGAATCGAGTGAAGTCTGGGAGCCAGTCAGCAAAAAGCCATATACCGAGGGTCATGATGACAGCACCTCTGAAAAAAATCGTAAAAACCACTACATAATGTGTTTATGCTTCAGTTACTATGTGTCAGCAATTATTGACAGTGACTCTGGATAAGAAATTTAATAGGTCTAAGTGTAAGCTTTCATTAGAGCCCAAAATTATGACTGTACATTAAAGCATTCAAGAATTACAGCATTTTATGTGTCGTTGGTTACAAAGGGTAATTTGGAGTCTCCAAGTGGCTTTTTTTGGGAAGCGCCTAGACATAAATTTAGATAAACATGTGTAAAACACTACTTATCTAAGGTATTGTTATCAAATTTGAAACAGTTTGCTTGGTAAGACTTTATTCTGTGATCCAAATGTATTTTCCAGCTAATAGCTTCCAGCTACAGTCATCTGTTTACAAAAAAAAATGTAGGCGGATTTTTAATTTAATTTTTCAGTGTGTTCTTACAGTGATTCTAACTGTTGAGGAACACACCTCAGCGTGTCACCTTTCAAAAGAGACCAAAACCATATATGTACTCCAAATGGTTCAAGACCAGCATGCAATTTACTTTGTGTAGGGTATCAGACCGAATCAGACAATCTTAGATTTAGTCAAATACACAGTTGAAACACGAGGAGCCGAATTCCACAGAGGCCCAAGACACAGGATGTTCGTAAATCAGATCCTGGCGCCACAAGCCTGAACCAACTAGCAGCTTTGAGTAGCTCACAGCATTTAAACAAAAGAACACTTATTGACAATTTCAAGGAGATTGTTATAGAAATATAACAATATAACAAGTTCTTGTTATAGAAATCATGTCCAAAAGTATACCCTGCAAGAGTGTTAAAACTCGGACCATGTGCCTGATGAGGTAACATTTTGATTTATGAATTGAGAGGAGAAATATACAACACCCCGAGCAAAGACGATATCTAATTGGTCAAAACACTATTTGGGAGGTGTCCAAAAGCCCAGTTTAAATACTCAGGACACCATCAAATCGCTCTCTTCTCTCTTCCGCCCTTTTTTGCCTTTTACCATTTGGGATGTGGCCAAAAGCCCAGTTTAAATACTCAGGACACCATCAAATCACGCTCTTTGTTTCAACTCTCTTCCTTCTTGCCTTTTTTGAAGCTTCTTTTCAGTCATCACCTTTTGCGCTCATTGAGCGTGCTCTGGCTTACACGCCAGCTCCTCCAAAACCATGAGGAGAAACGCCACCTAGTCTCGTCAAACTTTACTTCTATTTTGTTACTTTAGTTTATTTTATTTTCCGTTGAGAGTTTCGTGTTCTTCTGAGTTAAGTTTTGCCTAACGCCGTGCCTTAAGTGCCGTCATAAAACTTCAACCAGGCCACAACTCCATGTCGTCAGCCAACGCCCAACCACTGGCTTCCCAAGACTGAACTTCCAGCCAATCAGCAACCTCATTGAGGAACTCAATGCGAGGGTTAATTAAGTGATTGATGGTTGTTCAGATCTATGCAATTGCACATATTGCTGTAAACTTGGGATTTCACATTTTCATCCTCTTAAACTAATTATTTCCTCACTTTCTTTCTTTCTGCAACTTGTGTGAATGTGTGTGTTTATGTGTTAGATTAGTTTATATGTCTTAGGTTTATCCAATAAAGCCTTATTTATATTGAAAAGAGAAGTATCTTGTGTTTTGTGCTTACAAGTTAATGTCTTAAACTGCCGATCTTGTTACTGTGCTAATAAATAGTGTTTTCACTATACTTTGGATATTAATATCCATTGCAGAGTTGATGTTATACGGAGTTCAATGAATCGCTGGTCGTCTCAGTGATCAGCCATAAAACAGTGATTCTGTCCAAATTCCCTTTAAAATCTTAAATGATTCCCTTTGAGCTAAATTGACCTGTTTCCCTTACATTTGGGTATGCCTTTTTTAGGCGTTTTAGGCAAATTTTTAATACCACAAACCACAGGACTGTGATTGTTATTAAAATTCCTCCGGGTGAAGGAAAAACAATAAAAATGACAGTATTGGGGTTTCTAGCTGTTAAGATTGACACCGTCCACCAATTAGATCGTTCCTAGATGTGTGTTCAAATTTTGGCGGATGCCTATCAGTCCTCTTAGCTGGGTAGGGTTTCGCAAGAGAGTGGAAGGTAAATGGAAGACAATTTTGAACCAGCGTTCTCAAGTTTCACAAATACCTGTTCTATTGCTAAAAATCTCTGCTTTATGATTTTCACAGGCAAAAAACCGCAGTAGTCAATTCAGAAGGAAACAGCTGAGAGATAGAAGAAGAAGAAGAAGGAGAGAGAAGTTTTGCTCCCAAATGTTAGGAAAAATGACAGGGTGGTGGCGCTGTTAAATTGATACACCTAGGGGGTTGGTTTTGCTGTGTTAGCAGGAAAACTAACTTTAACCTAAGTGCTGAGGAAAACCCTAATTTTCCTTTTGGGATTTTTCCACCAACAGGCTTAAGCCAAACGGGCAAACTTATAAAAATTTAGCGGAGTTAATTAAATAACAGAAAGGGAGAGGAAAGAAAGCCAATTGCAAATTAAATTAGAATTTCAAGTTAGAAGTGGAATTTCCTGGTTAAAATTTAATGATGTTATCATTAAAATTGATGAGAGTAATTAAAATTACGATTAATCAATCAATATCTTGAAGAAGGATAACCCAAACCCTAATGAGCTAACCATGAAATTAGAATTTCAGAGCATTATTGACAGTTAAGGATTAAAATCTTGATGATGTTTGTCATTAAAATTAGCAAAGCAATTATAGTTGAGCTGATCAGCAAATATTGTGGCAATATGGAAACAGGACCCGTAATTAATTATTAAATGAAATTAAAATTCCAAATATGTAATTAATTATGAAATTAAATTAGAAACTTTGAATCCCTAAGGATAACAAGTTACTAATACTTACTGATGTTATTACAACCATAAGAGCAATTCTAATTAAATTAATTCGTAAGTACCCTAATTACTTACAAATGCCATTAAAGATTTCAGAGCCCTATTGATAGTTAATGATTAACTATCCTAGTGTTGTTGTTATTAGATTATGAGACCACTCAAAATTAAATTAATCATTAAATATTGTTGCTATGTGAAAGCAGGAACTGAAATTACTTTTGAAATGAAAATTCCAAATCTGTAATTAATTATGAAGTGAAATAAAAATTTAGAATCCATAATTACTTAAATTTGTAATATCTACTGATGTCATTAATATTATAAGAGCGGTTATAGCTGAATTAATCCCAACATGGCATTTAAGGTAAGGAGGCCTAGGTTGGCCAGGATTAATTGTTAATAGCAACACGACGGAAGCAGTTTAAACTGATATAGTAACACGCTGAAGGGGAAAGGTCTATTAAGTTTGCATCTGTCAACGTTCTTTTCAAAGGGAGGTGAGGAAGAGAGATAGGATGAAATCCGTATGAAATAGCGAAAGATACAGATGTAACTGAGCAAGTCACTTCAAACACTGCAACACATTTTGCCTTTGAGACCACAAAATGCTACGTGCTAACCACTAGCCTTCAATGCTAAGGAAGCTTGGCTATTTGTTTACAAACAGCTCAAAAATGGCGCTGGTAAACTGAAAGTTACCTCCGGAAAGGGTTTCTTCGAACTTCCGGGTTACGGCCACTTCAAACACTGCAACACATTTTGCCTTTGAGACCACAAAATGCTACGTGCTAACCACTAGCCTTCAATGCTAAGGAAGCTTGGCTATTTGTTTACAAACAGCTCAAAAATGGCACTGGCGGACTGAAAGTTACCCCAGAAAAGGTTTGTCGTAACTTCCGGGTTACGGCTGTTACTATGGCAATGTACCCTGCAATAACTAACGTGTGCTACACACAGTCTATGGTTATACACAGTTTAAGTACATCGCAGGAGATGTCAGCGTATCTCGCACTACACAACCAAAAAGCACTATAGATTCTTATCTTTTCTTACAGCGCTAAACCATCTCACCTCGTTAGAGTGAGGTAAATTAATGTACAGATTTACTGCAATTAATTCAATGTTATTGAAATCTCGGCGGATCTCTGCACCTAGTCTATTTATATAGACAAAACACACGTGAATTTAACCACAAT